TTCTGTTTTACACGATAGTACCAAGTTCAAGAGTATAAGTAACAACTGTGAAGACAATAAGATTCATTATTAGGCCCATTCTGGTTTGACTATTATCTTCTTTTGAAGTCCTGTAATGTCTCCAATGTTACGGTTTTATTGATTTTGTTCTTTATTGTTTTGTTCAATTTTATTATAACTGATGATATAGGCAATTCTTTTTAAGATAGCAAGAGGCATTATGGTAACCATTGTTAATCACCTCGTATTTTGTTTTTACATTATGTATTATGTCCATCCTTTTGATTTGACTGACTCTGTTTTGTTATGTCACAATTGGTTTTATTCTCTTCAAAAAAAGTAATAAGAACTGTGGGAGTAATAAAACCCAAAACGTGTAGTTGTCATTGTACAAAAGAGAGGAAAAGAAAGTGCTCTAAGGGATATAACTGCAAGTATATTTAAGCGTATAAGATAGATAACCATATTACTGAGTTTTGTTGGGTCATTGAACATAACTGTTTGCAGTCTGTTTGAATGTCCACTTTATATGTTTTAATTTTGTAAATTGAACAGCAATTTCTAAGATGACAATATGTAATCTATTAGTGATTTCCTACTGTTTATTTTTTCTGAAATTCTGTATAACTTGTACCCATTTTGTTTTTTTTTCTCCTTAAATAAATTTTTTTTTAAAAATGAGAAGTACTATAAAAGACTAGCACTAATATTATAAAGGAGCTGTATGCTCCTCTAACACTTCAATGAAGGTTCACCAGGCTCATGAATGCTCTCTAGACAAAGTCTCTGGAGGAAAATGAAGAACTGTTTTGCATTTGGGTCATTGTGTTGCTGGACAGAAACAATGTAAATGGAACCATGAACCCAAGTCAAGTGACCATGAGATTTTAAAGTGACACCCAATCCCTATCTAGGCACTTTGGATACATTTGGGGGAATTCCACAAAAGTGCTGACATTCAGACTATGTTACTTACAACTGACATTGAGTTCAGAAATGTGGGGTATGGTAGAGAAGGGCCATGGCAAGAAGTGAGGCATGAGAACAAGGACAACATGTTGTGGATTCATATAAGCACTTTGAACTCTACCATGAGAGCGCTGGAGAGCTGTCAGAAACCAGGAGAGCTCAAGACAGCCACGGCCTGAACAGTGGGCTACTTTTTCTTTTACACCAGTACAGTGTTTGGCTTAACTCCTCTATGACAAGTGCTGAATAAAGAAATACCATTCAAAATTGCTTTACCTCATGAAATCACGTGATAAGAGAGCTGGCAACTATGCCCTATAGGCCAAGTTCAACCTACCATCTGTTTCTGTAAATACTATTTTATTGGAATACAGCTATGGCCATTTATTTATTATTGTTTATGGCTGCTTTGGTTTGTAACTGCAGAGTTGAATCACTGTGATGGTCTGTAAAGTGTAAAATATTTGTCTGGCTCTTTACAGAAAAATTTTCTAACCTGTGCACTAACTAGTCAAGGAGAATCGTGGGGGCCACTGATTTGGGGTGCTATAAAAGAGATGCTGGCATTCAGGTTTCAGATCTCAAAAACCCCACCAGCTCACTGACTGTGATCAACAGACATGGTTTTGGAGACATGACAAGTGAAAAATAGTTAAATTCATGTGATTAATGAAATCTAAGGCTTAATAATTAAGTTTGTGAAAGTTACATTTAAATCATGAATGAGTCAATTTCTCAACATCTGACCCCTGTATATTACATTGTCCCAGAAGATGAGCCAGTATAAAATGTTAATTAATCATTTGGTCTGGCATCTATTTAAAGGTGGTAAGTTGCAAAAAATCCATTTAAAATAAAAAGCAATCTATAAATGTCATGTTTCACTTTTTCCCTTCACTTTTTCCCAATACCACCACCCTACATATGCAAAGCATTGTATAGATTGAATCAATTAAAATAAAATGGAAGTCTTAGGATGAAATAAATTTTTAATGTTCATTAGTACATGTTTAGTAGTACATAATTACATTCATCATGGAGAGCTGGTACAAACATATAACATCTTAATTTCTTTTATTTCCTTTTGCCCTCCCCTTTCCCCCAGGATGAAATAATTTTAAAGCTCAAGTAAATCACAGTTCCATAAGAGAGAATAACACTCAAACTACTGATGCTGCAATCTGTGGCCATAGAAAATTAAGCAATTTAGTGTTTACTTTTCTTGGAAAGATACATTTCCTATGGGTGAATTAATATCTCATTTTAAAGTCACTCTATGAAATTTTGAGTGTCTAATCTCAAATCAAAAGGTTAAATTGGCTAGTAGTTTTTGGATGGCATGATTAAAGGAAAGCTTACAACAAAAAACACTTATTTTTTTAGTTGGCAAAACACTAATTGAAAGAAAAATGTCAAGCATCAGAGGTATGAAGTATCCAGAAGCAAAATGGGAACTTATAATAAAATCCTAATTGTCAAGGTACTTCTTTAAATGACATGTTTGCCTAATGAGACAACTTCTTAGAGGTAAAGAGAAGTCAGTTGAGTAGTGTCATGATTTATGTCTGTGTCCCCCAGGCCTCATGAGTTTGCATTGTGTATTTGTGATTGGTTCATTGTCTAGTGCTTGGATTCATTGTCAGTGCTACACCCACATAGGGGTGGAGCCAGGATGTAATATAAGGCAGGAAGAAGGTGTGTCTTGCTCTTCGCTGGTTCCTGTTTGCTGTTTGCAGCCACCATGAACAGCGGCCCAGCCATGCCCACCTGCCTTGGCGCCAACTGAGTGTGGACTGAAACCTCCAAAAACTGTAAGAAATAAACCTTTTCTTTCCCGACTTCGGCTTCAGGTATTTTGTCTCAGTGATGAGTAAAAAGTAACTAAGACAAGTAGCAAAAGGTGAAAAGAATTTGTGATGATTTTGAGAAACTGTCCCTGCTGCTGTTAAATATTCAATGGAAGAAATATAAAATACTACACTGCCCAGTATTATTAGAGATCAAGTGATTATGTAAAATAATGGTTATTATAACTGTTCCAAAAGATACAGGTATAAAAATTAGCTTGCACTTAGATCCTGGGTACACCAGGATCATAGTCTTAGTTTGCTTAGTTTTCAGTGCTTTCTGCTTGCTCAAGAAGCTGAAAAACTAAAATGCAGATTCTTTTGTTCAACTACAGACTTAGTGAATCAGTGTACACACACACACACACAGTCAAACAAGGTAATCAGTGTTTTTAGAAAGTTCCTCAGTTCATTTTGATGTTTGCTGTCTGAAGCCAATGTTGGGCAACACTGCAGCTAGACTGTGTTGCCTATTATGAAAATAAAAGTACTGTAGGCTGATGTGAGGAAATCATTTTACATCACTGTTAAAGTTGCCAGGTTAGTTTAAAATACACCATCTTGTAAAAAGGTGTCCCTTTAAGTATGTTTAGAAAACTAAGCTAACAGCTAATGTAAGCTGGGACTCATCTTTAACATCAGGAAGGATAACCCTTACAACCAGCCACTTTTTGTTTTGTATCATTTTGTTTTGCTTTTGAGATAGGCTGTGGTTTGAGGTGACGCTGCAGACCCAAAATTTGATCTGAAGAAATGAGTGTCAGGACTGATGACTGCAGTGACTGCTGTTATGCTGCTGACACTTTCCAGAGCATTCAGAAGAATAACATTGAGGGAAAAGAGAGTCTTCCGTTAGCTGTCTGGATGCTTTTTAAGAGGTAGTTAGAGGGGTTCTGAGAACACAAAATCTCAGTCTGAGGGCTGCCAAAGGAAAGAATTCACACAAGATTAAAAAAGGAAGGCAAGTTTTAGTTATTAGGATCCAGGAACATGGTTGTGCCTATATACTGCTTCAAATAACAGCTTCTCATAGTTTATGGTTAGCTGACCATGTATTTAATTTTATAGTCATTTAATAAAAACTATTATTTTTCTCAAGGTTATTTCTTTTAAATTCCAGCAGGTAGAAATTATTATTCTCATTAGAAGGAAAATCATTTAACAATAGGAACATCAAAACAGAATGAACTACCTCTGTGGAATTGTGATGTTCCATTTTGGAACTGAGGTTAGGTGAGTTCCTAAAAAGAATTCTCAAGAGATTTGGCCAACTGAAATTTAAGAACACAAAACAAACATGCAGCTACACAGGCTGTTTTTCTTTTTCCTTTCTTTTTTTCATTAAGTACTCTGAAATTTTTGTTTTCCTTCAAAATAATTCAAGTAACTGAAATACAGAAGAATATGGCATTAAGATCTCAGCAAATATTTATCTGTAGCTATTGCTTCATCTGTAAAATGGAGATAACAGGATTTATACTATTGTTGGGAGGATTTAAGTTATTACATAGAAAGCCTTTCATATAGTGCTGACACACAGTAAAAACTTGGTATTTTAGATTCAATTTTAATTATAATAAGTAATTAATGTATTATAGGAGACTCAGGTAAAAAGCTAGAGAGCGATTATGAACAAAAGATTCTGGGAAGAGTTTTGAGCAGTGATGTTGGGGAAATCACAAGGAGTCATCACAAAACTCTTTATAAAATAGCCGGTTAACACAGGTTAGTTTCTAAATGAAGTAACCATTCTAGAGTTTAAGATGCAATGGAAGATTATGTCTGCTTTTTTGTGTGTGACACTGGGACTGAGGAAGCACTGAGCTACATTTCCAGCTCTCACTAAGTTGCTCATGCTGGTATTCAATTGGTGATCTCTTGCTTCAGCCTCCCAAAGAGCTGAGATTACAGGTGTACGCCACCGTTAGCATCACGTCCAACCTCCTGCCTCGACCTCCCAAGTACTGTGATTACAGATATGGGTGACCATGCCTGTTTAACTGTTCTTGTTATAGTACACAGCAACTTCCCAACTGTTGGGGGCAAGACTTAACCATCACCTTTGCCTTCTATATGATGTGATAAATAAAAAAAGCCCCAGAACAAGAAATATTTTCTCTCACTTACAAAAAGCATAATATATTAAAATCGTTTTAAGTTTTCCTTTTCTGATTTTTGTTTTACCTGTCCCCTGAGGCAGTTGGGCGAGTAGTTGTCAGCAGCGGAGTGTGCACTTCATTAGAGTACAAAGTGTCTGACAGGATATCAGCTCCTTCAAGCTCCTTGCAACAGTATGGTCTGCGGTTTATCAGCTTCATGGTCCTGACCTAAAAGGGCAAATCTGGAAAAGAAGGGCACGCAGGAATTGAGTTTGTGCCGCTAAATTGTTCAACCCATTAATACACAGAAATCAGAGTTTTCTTTTTCTCACTGAAAGCCTGAGGACCCTCTAATGTCAAATCAGTAATAAATGGCAACTTAATTTCTATGACAACGAATTTCAACGGAAACAAATCCATAAAGTGGAAGATGTTTCTACGAGTCTTAACAGCACATAGGCTGCTTGTAGGTTCGCACAAGTCCGCTGCTTCCTAGACATTGACTGGAATTCAATTCTTGCCTTAAATTTAACCCCAACTATCGGAGAACACCATTGGTGATCTAAAAATCTGGGTGACTGGTCAGACTCAAAACTTATCCTTCCAAGGGCTCCGCGGAATCCCCAGGAATTCCTGTGCATAGAGGGGCAGACTCAGTGCTGCAACATGAGCGAGACCCCAAAGATTCCAGGTTCCCCATTGCTTCGGCGGGAATCCCATTCCGCTCCCCAGAGCTCCGGGCAAAGCCAAGGAAGGCGCTGTCGGTCCCAGAGCTGTGCCTGGGGTTCGGACGCACCTGCAACATCAGCCTGGGGGCGCTACGCGACCTTGCCTCGTCTGCCCTCTCTCCCGGTCTGCTGGCGAGTCTCCCCGTGGAATCTCGCCGTCGTCCGCACCTGCGGGCCCGAGGCGCCTGCGGGCAGGCGCGGGGAGAGAGAGAGAGAGGGACAGCGAGCAGGCCGGGGGTGGGGTCCAGGTGCCTGTGACGGCGACCGTGACCCAGGCACTAGGTAATGCATCTTGGACGGGTGGAGGGGGCGTCCCTGTGGCGGGGAGTTTTGGCGAGTCGCAGAAAAGGGGCCAGCTCCAAGTCCGGGAAACTCAAGAACAGGAAGCGGAACCGGAAGTGAGAGAAGAGGGCCAGTCGCCAGGTGGGAAAAGAAACGGGGTTTTCCGCCCTTGGCCCTGCCCCTGCTCCGTGGCCCCTCCCACCCGAGGCCCTAACCCCGCCTTGCCACGTGCAGGCCTCAGGTCCTCGGCACCACCCGCCAGCGCCCTCTGGCGGCGGCAGCGGCAGCGGCGAGCGTAGCTTCTGGGTAAAGGTCTGGGCGGAGAGCGAAGGACCCGGGAAGGGAGAGCGTGGGGAGATCCAAGGTGGGGGGTTTGCAAGCGCAGCCCTAGAGCAGCGCTCAGAGTCTCTGCTGTTCTGCTTTCTTCTTTCCCTGGAACCATAAAAAGTACAACAGACGAGGCATCCCGGCAGGTCGGCCCGAGATGCACTCCTTTACGTATACTGCCCACAAAGGCAAAAGGCTGAAAAACATCACGGGCTGGTGCGCATTGGGAGGGTCTCTAACCGGCCATTCACATGTAGGAGTGAGAGAAACATAACGGGGTGGTGTGAATCGGGAGGGTCTGAATTAGGATAGGCAGTGAGTGGCAATGTGGGATGGAGAGGTGGTGGCGAACCTTTGGCCCCAGCGGCCTGTTTATCATTGACAGCTCTATAAGATTCGCCATCCACTGGCCTAGCCTGGCCTCCATAACCTTAGTCGCCCCTCAAACCCCCAAAGAAACTAATGCAAACTACATTTCTACACTCACAGGAATTTGAACTTGAGGGCTGAAAAAAGCCTCTCACCCCCGGAAGGAATAGATGTGGGAAAGAGAGCTTTGGGTAGTGGGACGCTAGAACCCAATCTGCAAGAAGGGAAAAGGTAGGGGAGAGTGATCACCTTTGAGAAAGGAGGTGACAGATCTCTCGGCCACTTTGCCCATTTATAACCTTTAATTAACCAGGGGCTATTTAGTTGTGCTGTGCCTTCTGGGTGAGTGTTGGCTGACATGCGGGAAGAAGGGTGCTTTGGGATAGGCATAGTGGTCAGTGTGGAGCCAAGCACCTCACCCCACTTGCCAGTCATCACTGTCTGAGCTTGTAAGAGGAGATCCTGTTGGAGGCAGAGTGGCTTTGTCTGACACATTTGCTCACCTCCCTGCATTTCTGATAGAAGTCCATTCTAACTTGTTTTGGGGCTCCTGTGTTCTGGATCTCTGTGAGCTCAGACCACTTTGGATCCACAGTCTTCGGGTACCTTCCATCTTTCCATACTCTATTTCTCTCTCTCTCTCTCTCTCTCTCTCTCTCTCTCTCTCTCTCTCTCTCCCTCTCCCTCTCTCTCTAGGACACCTTAGCTCCATTTCCTCCTGGCTTGGGTCAGCCTGGGAGGAAATAGCCCAGTCTAATAAGCTGAATCAGAGGCAAGTGATGAAAATGCATTTTGGCCGTCTTTGTGATGACGCTGGGGAGGTTGTGCCAGCCCCAGGTAGAGTGATTAGCATATATGATGATAACTTCCAGGTCATAGTAGGTTTGAAATACTATTTTAGTTCACAGGTGTGTAAAGGGTAGAAAAGTGTAAATATTTTCACCTTTGATTTTTTCAAATAAAATTTACAGCCAAAAATATTGTTAAATAATTGATCCTCTTAGAAATACTTCTCTTTCTGAAAGATTTTGAGGGACATCAAGATTGGATCTGTGTGTCTGACCAGCACACGTTACTGTTAGCATTTGTGATTTAAATCATTCACCTCAGCCAGCAGGTGATGTGTAGACGGCCCCGACCAAGATCAAGTGGCTGCCTTCTCATGAATACTCAAAGTGACTGATTTCTTAGGTAGATCATAGCCAGTGGTGTCAGGTACCTCAAATAACCTTTTTTTTTTTTTTTTTTTTAACTTCTGGCATTTTAATTTCCTTTTTTCTTCCTCATTTTCCTAGTAATCTTTCAAGCAGGAAAGATGAAATTTGGAGAATGAAAAATAATATCCCTAGAATACCACCGTGTCTGGGTTTACAAAAATTGCAAATTGTAACTGGACCTTTTAACTTAAAGATTATGCAGAAAGTATATAATAATGTAAAACCTGAGTCATAATCTACAACCTTTTAAAATCCGTTAAAGAGACCTTCAATAAAGTAGTATTTGAAAATGAATTAAATAAGACTTTGAGGAACTCGGTATTTCTTGGCAGATTTTTTAAATGAAAAAAAAACTTTCATTTTAAGAGGCAAAAATCTTTCACCTCTTCTGGTGATTTAAAACTACTCAGGACGTAAGGGGAACAGATGATCATTTTAACAAACAGTGCTGGGAGCTGCATGTAATCCTAACTTCTTGGGAGGATGGTATATAAGGAGTGTACACTCAAGGCCTACCTGAGCAATTTAATAAAACCTGAGTCTGAAAATTTAAAAAAATGAAAAGGTGGGGTTGTAGTTCAGTGCAAGGATCCTGAGTTCAATCCCTAGTACTACAAAAAATTAAATTAAGTAAATCATAATAAATACTGGTAAGAAAAAATGTCCATATGCAAAAGAATGAAATTGGATTCATTTTACACCATATGAAGAAACTAATTCAAAATGGATAGAAGACCAAATATGAGATCAGAACCTAACCTATAAAACACTTAGAAAAGAACACTGGAGAGAACCTGCTGAACATTAAGTTTGGCAATAATTTTTTGGGTTAAATCTCACTTGGTCATAATATTTAATCTTTTTGATATATTGTTGATTTTACTAATTTTTTCTTCTTTTTACAGACAGGTTCTCGCTATATAGTTCAGGCCGGTCTGGAGCTCACTTTGTAGCCTGAACTGGTCTGGAATTTGCCAACAATCATTCTTCAGCCTCCCAAATGCTGGGATTACAGGCATGTGTTACCATGCCTGGCTTGTTTTACTAATGTTTCCATTGTGATTTTTTGGGTCAATATTTATCAGAGAAATTGGCTTACCTTTTCTTGTAGTGTTTTTGACTCAGGCACCAACAAGGGAAACTTACTTTTTCTTGCTATGTCTTTGACTCAGGTGCCAACATTATGCTGGCATCATAAATTGTATGTGAAAGTAGTCCCTCAAGGTCTACTTTTGGAAAAATTGAAGAAGTATAGACATTACTTCTTTGAATGCTTTGTGGTGTTCAGCTATGAAGCCATCTGGTCCTGGGGTCTTCTTTATTGATAGATTTTTATTACTTCTTAAAGCTCTGTATTTGTTGTTGGTGTGCTCAGCCTATTTCTTTCTTTTTTCCCCCTTGTTTTATTTTTATTTTATTTTAAAGAGGATAAAACCAAGAAAATAAAATAGAATAAACCAATAAAAAATAAACCAGTATAAGTGATACAGGATTTCAAAATCTTATAAAATCAAGACTAGTTACCATAATGTCTTTTGTTATCTTCAAAATAGCTGCAGATATTTTCAGACATAGTGAGGCTCAAACAGAACAAAATAGAATAGAAACAATATAGCCAAAACAGTGAATGCAATAAAGGACTTCAAAACAAGCCACTAGTAAATCCAAAATGGCTACTATGATATGTCTTGTCATCTTTCAAATAGCTGCTCCTGCCATCAGATTTAACATAAACAACAACAACAAAAAAAGAGAATAAAACCCAACCCAAGAGAACAATGAAGATGATATAGTTTCCAGGCAGGGATTGCTTCCTGCTGAGGCTCCTGGTTCCCTCCCCGCGAAGTCTGAGAATGGCCAGATTATTTGTTTCTAACACAACCTGTGCAAGTTATATTTTTCCATTTCCTTTAAGTTATGCAGTGTGTCATTATGTAATTACTCCTGATAATCATTTATAATGCTTTTTATTTCAGTTTTAATTTCAATACTTTCTTTTTTGATTATATTTATGATGGTCCTCTCTCTCTCTGTCTCTGTCTCTTTTATACAGAGGAAGGAACACATGACCTCATGTTTGCCAAGCAGGCACTTATGCCGTTGAGCTAAATCCTCAACCCTCTCTGTTTTTAAATGTTAGACTACATAAGTATTTGTAGGTGTTTTTTTTTATCTTTTAAAAATCTCTTTTATTGCTTCTTTGTATGATTTTTGCTGTTTTACTTATTTCTTATTTTTATTATTTGCTTTGCTAATTTTGAGTTTAATTTGTTCATTTCTAGTTCTTTACCAGATATTAGATTATTTATTTGGTGTCTTTCTTGTTTTTTTCACATGGGATTGAACTCAAAGCCTCAGACAGCTACATCCCCAGCCATTTTAACTTTTTAAAAGTTTGAGACAGGATTTTGCAGAGTTGCCCAAATCAGGTTTGAATTTGTGATGCTTGTACCTCAGTCTCCCTAGTAGCTGGGATTATAAGTGTGCATGCACTACGTACCATCCTGGCTCATTCTTCTTTTTTAACTTAACTATTTACCACTCTAAATTTCTCTTAAAGAACTGCTTTTGCTGCACTTCATATGTTTTGCTATTGAAGGTATTTTTTAATGTACTGAATCAAAACTTCTATCATATATTTTAAGGACAAAAAAATCTAGGTACAGAATGGTTAAAGAGTATGCTACCATTTGGGTAATGCATGTATCTTATAAATTATGCATACACACCATTTCTTATATACCCATAATATATTCCTGGAAATATATATCCATAGTATATTACCTGGTAATGAGAACTAAATGGAGGAGGGAAGGGAGATGTTTCATTATATTCATATTTTGCACCTCTAAAATTTGAACTGTATAATTTATTTGGTGCAGGTTAGTTTTTCTGGAAGCAGATACGGAGATACAGTTTGTGGCACAAGGTATTTATTAAAGCCTGACATTTAGGGAGGAGGAAAAGGAGCAAGTTGGTATAGGTGGAGAAGATGATGTGCCTTGAGGTCCCAACAAAGCTTGGTTTTCCCTCTGAGGAGCTCCAGACCACATATGGCCTGTCAAAGCACGCTTTAGTTGAGAGGAAATGACCTTTGTACTCCTGTCCTGACCAAATATTAGGTGCAGAAAGGCACCTAGGAAGGCATGGAGGCGTGCCAGGGAGCTCCCACCATGGAAGCAATCCCTACTACAGCTGACAATGTGGGCAG